AATAATATAATAATAATATAATAATAATAATAATAATAATATAATAATAATAATAATAATAATATTATAATTATAATATAATATAATAAATAATAATAATAATAATAATAATAATAATAATAATATAATAATAATCATAATATAATAATAATAGTATTATAATAATAATAATAATAATTATATAATAATTGTTGGAACGCGTACTAGCGTCACCCCGCCGCGCCGCTACTGGCGAGACGACCAGACAGGTTGCCTAACCTAGAAGCTTGTAACCGCCGTCCTGTCCCCGCGCGCCGCACCTCGGAATGCAGTCAGTCGTGAAGAGTCAGTCGTGGGAAGCAGTCGAAGTACAACAGCAGCCAGCACACGCGCGCGGATCGCGGAACGCGGAAGCCCGTCTACACCTGTCGCTTATCTACCCATTCATGTACAGTACTGAATAAACTGTTCTGAACCGAAGACCACTGCGAGTTGAATTGCTCTGCTTACCTATCCTCAACAGGTTACGTGCCCAGAGACAGTGCTACGGACATTGAACAATTATTGCAAGTGCTGAAGATAATATAGGAAGTGTGTGACTAGTGTTATCAAACATGAGTGTGGCAAAAGTATCCTGTATAGACTCGCTTAGCAGGGATAACTACGACACGTGGAAAATACAGATGGGCATTGCTGGTAAGAAACGATCACTGGAGTTATGTATCTGGCGAGATAAAGCAGCCACGGATAGATGATGGGGACGAAGCATCCACGAGAGCTGTAGAAGCCTGGACTAAAGGTGACAGCAAGGCGATGTCGGACATAATTTTGTCAATAAGCCCCTCAGAAATCAAACAGGTAAAGAACTGTAATACATCCAAGGAACTGTGGCAAAAGTTGGAGGGTATTTACCAATCAAAAGGACCCGCTAGAAAGGCCACATTGCTCAAACAGCTTACACTGCAACGTATGGAAGAGGGACAGGACATACGATGTCATTTAAACTCATTTTTCGATGCAGTTGACAAGTTAAATGACATGGATGTAGAAATCAATGCAGATCTATTAGCGATAATGCTACTGTATAGCCTGCCAGCCAGTTTTGAAAACTTCAGGTGTGCAATTGAGTCTAGAGACGAATTACCATCCCCGGAAATTCTTCGAATAAAAATTATAGAAGAGTATACTGCGCGGAAAGGCGACGTTCGAGAAACGGAAGGCGCCATGTTCGTGAAGCGGAATTATGGGAAAAATCACGGTCACGCAGGAAATGGCGGACGGGGCAGTGGCGTCTCGGAAGGTACACGAGGCAGCGGCGTCTCGGAAGGTGCACGAGGCAGCGGCGTCTCGGAAGGCAGAAGAACGTTCAGGTATAAGTGTCACAGATGCCGAAAAGTAGGCCACAAGGCCGCTGAATGTCCAGACAAAGGTAAGACTGTTGCCAATTCTTACAAAAGTGAAGCGAACTGTTCCGAACACGTGGGACTCGTTACCGCGGAATGTTATCATGTTGAACAGAATCACAAAAGACTGAAATGGTGTCTAGACAGTGGCGCAACGTCTCACTTATGTAAAGACATTAGTTGTTTTTCTGACCTTGAACGTAGACATGATCATTTGAATTTAGCAAATAGTGAATTTACGGACATTACAGGTTCCGGAACAGCCACGTTTGTTGCTGACGTTTTTGGCGACACGAAAAACATCTCACTCCACAAAGCTTTTCATGTTCCCGACCTAAGAGTAAACTTACTTTCTGTTGCAAAGATTACCGATAAAGGATTTGAAGTTTTATTCAAGAAAGAAAATGCTTTGATCTATGATAGTAATGGTGATATAAAAGTTGTAGCCGATCGTAGTGGCGATTTATACTACGCGAGAGAAGGCGAAGCGCAGAATAAATCAGCTTTCATTTCGACCATGAATTCTAAAAATGTCAAACTATGGCATCGTAGATTAGGACATTTGAACTTTCAGGATTTGAATTCTTCATTGAAGAAGGAAGATTAGGTGGAATAAATATTGAAAATATGCCTAATAATGGGGAACTTAATTGCGAAATTTGCATACGCGGAAAAATGACGCGTTCACCATTCCCGAAGAAGTCCGACAGGGAATCGGAAATGCTAGAAATCGTACATACTGATGTTTGCGGTCCCATGCGAGTAGAATCTCACTCGAAGTACAAATATTTTGTCGAATATAGATGATTATTCTAGGTATTGCACGGTATTCTTCATGAAACATAAAATGAAGTTGTGCGAAAGACTCAGAATAGATTACACTGGTCGAAAACCAAAAGAACAAAAAGATAAAGTGCATCCAATCTGACAACGGGACGGAGTACCCATGTAAGGAAATGGAGGATCTCCTGAAAAAGCACGGAATTTCACGTCGGCTTGACTTGCCCATACACTCCGGAAGCAGAACGGTATAGCGGAGAGGAAGAACCGCACTCCCTTGGATACAGCACGTTGTCTAATCATGCAGTCCGGCTTACCTCCGATCTTTTGGGCTGAAGCCATCAACACGGCCACTATTGCGGAACAGATGTCCATCCAAAAGTCTGAACGGGTTAACACCATACGAAAAGTGGACTGGAAAGACTCCCGACGTTTCGCCATCTCAGAGATTTGGTTGCAAGGTCTTCTGTCTAAACCAAGATCAGGCCAAGGGGAAGCTATACGCAAGATGTAGGAAGGAATTTTCATAGGGTATTCGGAACAAACGAAAGGATACAAGGTCTGGTTGCCGAAGGAGAATAAATTCGTAGTCACGAGGGATGTTAAGTTCTTGGAAAACGCAGAAGTCATAAGCCAAGAATGGACAGATTTTATTCTGGAAGGATCATCCAAGGAGAATGAATCTGAGATGCATACTATCGAGGTACAGCTATCCCCAGTTGTCGAGAACGAAAATCCAGAACATGAATCTCCTACAACGGAACAAGAAGAGCCCGAGGTTGATCACGATTCTGAGCCACCCAGGCGTGCCCGCGGGAGACCCAGAATTCGGCGAACTGGTTCGAGGGAAGACCTAGAAAGATATACAGGTCAGGACACCCCCGAGAGGTTCAGCACTCTCTTCTGAAGAGGTATTACTGTCCGAGGTCCCGATGCATCAGGCAGTCAGAGGCGAGGACGCTGACGAATGGCACAAGGCGATGGCAGACGAAGTGGCATCTATCTTGAAGAATGGTACTTGGAATTAATCGACCGACATGTAACCAGCACATCGTTGGAAGCCGTATTGTCCCTGAGAAACAAGTTACAAGCCTGATGGAACTATCGAAAGGAGGAAGGCAAGACTAGTCGCTCGGGGATTTGGCCAAAAGCCCGGAACACATTTCAACGAGACTTTGCCCCTGTAGCAAGGCTAGCTCCATAAGACTTGTATCTGCCCTAGCAGCACATTTAAATATGGACATGCAGCAACTGGATGTTACCTTGCGCATACTTAAATGGAAGTCTAGATGAGACGATTTACATGGAAACCCCCGAATATTTGGATGAATCATTGAAGATTATTTGTGATAACTCCAAATACAACGAGGCTACCAGAAAGAAGGCTCGAGATACCTTGAACACACTGGGAAAAGGTGATAAAGTAATGTCTACTTAGGAAGTCACTATACGGCCTGAAGCAAGCCGGTCGGAGCTGGTATCAGAAACTAAAGCCAGACACTTAGTGAATGTGGGCAAATCCAACTAAGTCCGACCCATGTGTATTCACTAGTAAAACAGGGAAAGGACATTATGATAATTGTCACTTATGTAGACGATCTGATTATCGCATCACGTGACAAAAAGGCAATATCGTCCCTAAAAGCCAAATTATCTGAAAGATTTGAAATGAAAGATCTGGGATCAGTTAATCATTGCCTAGGGATGGAATTTTCACTAAAAGAAAAACAAGATAAGTCTAAGCCAGAGAGCATATATCTTGAAATACTAGATCGATTCAACATGGCGGATGCGAACACTGTAAGCACTCCACTTGATCCAGGAACGAAGTTAAGGAAACCGACGGAGAGCCCATCTAGTGAGAGCTGAGTTACCCTTATAGAGAGCTTTTAGGTGCGCTAACCTATCTATCGTTGGGAACGAGACCCGATATTAGCTTTGCCGTAAGCTACTTAGGACAGTTCAACAACTGTTACAGCTAAGGAACACTGGACAGCCGCAAAGCGAGTACTTAGGTACCTGAAGGGCACCATCGATCACTCGATAGTATACCAACGAGAAGACATGAATCTGAGAGGATTGTTGATGCTGATTGGGCAAACTGCCCTGACGATAGGCATTCGTTTACCGGATTCTCATTCATCCTATCAGGCGGACCCGTATCGTGGAAATCGAAGAAGCAAGCACAGTGGCATTGTCCTACCACCGAGGCGGAATATATGGGTACCACCGAAGCTGCCAAGGAAGCAATCTACTTGGCAAGTTCATGACCGAACTTGGGTTCGAAAGACTCGCTAACGTAACCCTGTATAGCGACAATATGAGTGCTATAAAATTGGCCGAGAACCCAAGATATCATTCCAGAAGTAAGCACATCGACATACGTTACCATTTTGTGCGGGAGGCCTTGGAACAGAAGAAGTTTAAGTTGAAGCATACTCCATCTTCTGAAATGGCCGCAGACGTATTGACGAAGGGGTTGTCGAGGACAAAACATCGGAAGTGCATGGAACTTTTGGGATTACAGACGACGGACCAGAACCTGTATGTGTCTGCTACGTCTCGAGGGGAAAGTGTTGGAACGCGTACTAGCGTCACCCCGCCGCGCCGCTACTGGCGAGACGACCAGACAGGTTGCCTAATGGCTCGTTTACACAGTGCGAGCTAGCGTACGAGTCATCCTGCCGAGTAGCTGCAGTGCAGTAATTCGCATAAATACGGACGTACCTACGAGTAACTCGTACGTGCGAGTTGGACAGTAGCTCGCACCCGAGGTACTTCAACAATTTTTGTTTTCACTCGCCTACTGGCCCGACAGCAACGCGCATATGGCAAACAGCAATTCGAAGCAGAAGCGGTATTTTATGTGTGCTGCGCCAAAAGCGTTTACCCACTTCGAAATGGGCTCAGAAAGGTGGTCTTCTGAGAATAATATTACATTCATGAATCTCTACAGAGAACAAGAAAAACTATGGAATTGTTTTGATAAAAATTAAAAAAGAGAGATATGAGAAAAAGCATCTTTGGAATACATTGCAAACGAAATGAGTCTAGTTAACACCAGTGAGGTAACTAAAAAAATAAAAATTTACTATCTGCCTATAACCAAGAACGCGCGAAAATTGAAAAAAGTAAAAAAAGTGGGATCTGGGTCGGAAGATGTTTAAAATGGTTCGATATAATGGATTATATAATGAAAACAATTAATTTGAAAGAAAAGAAAACTACAAGCAATCTGGTGAGTACCTGATATTTTATTCCACTGAGTTAGTTCATAACATTTAATTATTACTAATCATATAATTTTGCCAGGTGACAGCACCCTCATTACAAAAAAAAAAATTGTATTCTTCTCCTCAATTTTTTCAGCTGCGAACTTTCATCTGTTATTGATCCGCGAACGGGCGATACTTGGTAACGCATTTATTTCTGATCTCCACGTTCCTAGGTTCGTAGTGAAATTTACAATATCTTCATAATCTATGCTACCAGGTGGTGTGTAGGTGTGAAGTGATGATTTGCGCAACCAGTTGTGCAGTACACATGTAGTTCGAATCATTTTTATTGCGGTTTCCTCTTGCAACTGGATAGGTAGTGCCAAAACACGGAATCGAGATACTAAAATACCAAATGCATTTTCTACTATGCGTCTTGCCCTAGTGAATCTGTAATTGTAAATTTTTTCGACAATCGTGGGCTCATTGGGATATCGTTTCAATAAGTACGTCTTAAGAGGGAAAGCATCATCTCCCACTAGGAATCCACCTTCTGGCAGTAATGACCCATTTTCCAACACTGGATACAATGAGAAAGCTTGGAAAACACCACCGTCGGAGTTTCGCCCATATGAGCCTATGTCCACATATTTAAAACAGTAGTCATGATCCACGACTGCTAAGAGCACCAAGCTGTTTGTTCCTTTATAATTATAGTATTCACTACCACAATTGGGAGGAGCTTGAATTACCACATGTTTGCCGTCGATGGCTCCACAACATCCTGGAAAATTCCACCTGTGGTGAAATCCTACTTGTATGTCTTCCCATTCCCTGTTGTCTGGTACCTGAAAAAATATTAATTTAGTATTTTCATTTCAGCCTAACGATACACCGTCGGGGTCCAAAATTTTGGAAGATGATGTTAGTCGGGACATTGATGATAAGACTGATAATAAATCAATCGACTCCAGCGACAGCTCGTTGATCAAAAATAAAAATCCAGTTCAAGTTAAAATAAAATAAAGCATAACATTACCCAAGAAACGAGTGGAATTGCAGCAAGTATTAATGAGCTTAAATAACTGAATAGTACTATACAAACTTCCAGTTGTTCTCAGCAATGTGATGAGTACGATGTTATTGGAAAACATGTCGCTATTCAACTGAGAGAGCTCCCATTACTTGATTTTATAGACGCCAAAGATGAAATCCAACAATTACTTTCCAGATACCGAAAAAAAGCTATATGTGCCCGAAACACATCTGCTTTTTCCTCATATAATACATCGTCGCCAACGTCCTACATATCGCTGACATCACCAGGATCCAGTGTACCAAGTGATTCATTCCCAAGACCTGTCCCAATATCTGATCGGCCCGCAGAAACAGTTTCTCGGAAGCCAGTTCAAACAGTTGTTGGACAACCATCAAATGCATCATACGAGGGTATCCACTTTGGTGATCCACTAGTCAGAGCAATGATAGATGCTGATATGAACAATATGCAATAACTTTTATCCTCTGTGTTACTTTTGTATGACTTGGTTGTCTTTAATAAATGAATGAATGTATGTATGATCCACACATGTGTCATTGAATAAGTTAACTGAACCTTTGAAGTATCAACTCATGAAGCATTTACCACATTTCTACTTACCTGCAAATATTCGTCCAAAGCTTCATACATAACGTCACAAACTTCTGGTATAAATTTTGATATGGAGGATTTTGAAATCCTGAAAAATATTGCTAACAGCCTGTATGATATTCCTGAGCTTAGAAAACACAGGGTTACTTCTAACTTTACCCTTGCTGGTATGGCATCTCTCATAAAAGTGTCTTGACGCTCTATTTTCATTTTTATTAAATTTAAAAGTTTGTCAACTTGTTCGGGTGTCACTCTCAGCACTGCTTTATATTCTCGGGGGTCTTCATGATAAAGCTCCTTGAAAATCGCACATGTTGCCCCTATAGATCGCCTTGCCGTCCAATCTCTAATCCAAACCTTTTTCTTCCTCTCCTTTTTTTGAAGTTTTTTGTAGGATTTTTCCAATTCCTCACATAATATTATTGTCATAGACCTTATCACCGTTTTTTTAATCACAGCAAGTTGACTCAACATCGCGACAACTCGGAAGATACTGGGCAGCTACTATCATCGTGGAAACAACTAAGGCGAGTCGAGCTACTGGCATACGAGTAGACCATCCGAGTAGCTGTCTACTGCCTAGTCAGCAGCTCGCCCTGTGTAAACGAGCCATAACCTAGAAGCTTGTAACCGCCGTCCTGTCCCCGCGCGCCGCACCTCGGAATGCAGTCAGTCGTGAAGAGTCAGTCGTGGGGAACAGTCGAAGTACAACAGCAGCCAGCACACGCGCGCGGAACGCGGAAGCCCGGTCTACACCTGTAGCTTATCTACCCATTCATGTACAAGTACTGAATAAACTGTTCTGAACCGAAGACCACTGCGAGTTGAATTGCTCTGCTTAATAATAATAGTAGTAATTATAATTTTAATAATAATAATAATTATTATTATTATTATAATATTAATAATAATAACAATAAGAAGAATAACTATAATAATTATAATAGTAATAATAATAATAATAATAATTTTATTATTATTATTCTTATTATTATTATTATAATTATTATTATTATTATTAGAACTATTATTATTATTCTAACTATTATTTTTACTATTATTATTATTATCATTACAATTATTATTATTATTATAATTATTATTATTATTATCATTATAATATATTTATATCGATCCGTCTTTCGTTTTTTGCATCAATTTTAAGAAATAGGTCGCGATATGCTGTGGGGGTCATAGAAGATATAATTGAGTACTTTTCATATCGTCGGCCCATTAATCCTTGGAAAATACTGCTTGGATTTCGACCAAACCTTCACACAAGGTTACTTCTATACCAATGACGAAAAGGCTTGACAGATTTTGAAATTCAGTTTAGTGGCGGCCGAGAAAAAGACCAAAACGAAAAAAATAGAAACTTGTTTTTTTGATGTTTAATGGCTCCTGATCATTTTGAAACATTTTTGGGGTGAAAATGGGGAATGAGGGTTGTAAGGGCTGGGAAAGAATAAGTCAATTTTGCATATTAGTATAATAATACACTTCCAGCCGCAGTAATTCTGCACACCTATTAGACATACATATTTCACACCTCATAGATTTTTGCCCGTACATTTAACCTTAAGAATCAGAAAAATATTTTCAGCAGACGGCTATCGGTCGCACATGACGTACGACAAGGGGTTATTTATAATTATGCATCTTTGATATTTGATTGGAGTGACGTATAAAGATCTAATCGCCATCAGCGCGGTAACATACGAGGTGGGCGCGATAGATGCTTGGAGTGTAATCCAATGTGGTTATTTGATTTCGTGACATAATGCTATATAGTATATGATTATGTATCATGAGCTATATTATATTCAGTTATCAATCATTGTTGACAAACAGAGTTTTATAACAGAGTTCTGAAGCAATGGGACTCTCTGCTATGGACACGCTCATTGCTGCCATCTGAGGATTTCTTTCTTTCATGAAAACCCATATCGTGCATTACTAGTTCGTTTGAAAGCTATGTCAACCTGATTTACGCAATTTTTTCTGGGATGGCGTGGTTTACTCTCGATTGTATTGATTGGTTTTCATATTGAGATAAAAAGTTGTCTGTGTCCATTACAAATTTGACGTACATTTTTACATTCAGGTAGTATTCTTCGCCATCATCGCCCTGGCTGTAGCCGCTCCAGCTCCCGAGGCCGCTCCTGAAGCCAACGCTGTCCCTGAGCCTAAGGCTGCCCCTAAACCAAGTGTTCTCGCCGCTGCATACACCGCTCCAGTTGTGGCTGCCCCTGCTGCATATGCCGCCTATCCCTATGCTGCTCCCCTGGCATACTCTAGCTACATAGCTGCACCCTCTGTCTACGCCGCTGGATACAGTGCCTACCCATACGCTCCTACCGTCATCGTTTGATTTTGTTGATTTAGGATAGAAAATAAAATGTTTGTTGAAGTTTAGTTTGTGTTTTCGCTTTTTTATTGCGCTTGCCAGGAGAATATAGCGACAACTTGTGCTCCAGATTAGGGACGAAGATGGAGGATTTGGCATTGAATTAGAACTCTATAAATTTTGACAACAGACATCTAGTGACTGATGTTCTATGATGGGCCCTCTCTTGAATTATTGTCCACCCACGAGGTATATTCTTAAATTCACCGGTTCAGCTACCGGTGCAACCGGTTAGCCAAGTTTGCGTCCTTTAATTTCCGCTGGAACGACCGGTTGTAGATCAAACTTGTCTCTATATTGATGGTGGATATGCCACCGGTGCCAACAGCATCCACCGACGTTCGGGCTCGGTTGATCCACGATATTCTAACATCTACATTTTATCAGTTTTTGACAACTACAGTTTTGTGTGAAAAAATGGAAGAAGAAAAGGTTGAAGTTAGCAGCTTAGGAGTCGCGTGAAATTTAATGTTTTTTTTCAACACAAATTGAAATAAACAGAGCATCTGAAAGCAAGTCAATATGTTTTGAATTCTGCATATCGACGATCTCATATTAATACCTCGAAGTCCGAAAATGTCGATTTTCTGATTTTGTTCTGTTTTTATTCCTGTATGAATACAATGAATACAGGAATGCTCTCAGAAATCCATATCGATGGTTCTTATACGGGAAGCGTCGACGTTCTCAAATCAATGCCTCGTATTGATTTGAGATCGTCGATATCTGAAAATTTCTTGGTTTTCTGATTTATAGTTCTTATATTGATTCTCTCCGCTGGATAACTTCTTCATCAGAATCATCACTCGAATCGCTTAACAAACGTTCCACGACAATACCAACTGCTGCTTACATTTCCATAATGATTTTAAATGATACGGTGTTCAAATGAAAATGAACAAGTATCCATTTACGATAAAACAAAGGTTAGGTATTCTCATATGACAGCAACCTGAAGGCTAAAAATGCGTCTTTTTATTAACGACCATTCAACGGAACCGGAACGTCATCACATCAGCTGTCAACCATGAGTTCACCGGATCCATCAGTGATGGAATCAACCGATGAATTAAAGAATATAATCAAATTCAAGCGGATAACCAAATGGAAATGGTATTTACCATTTTGGGTTGGTATTTACCAATCCGTTCAAGCGAGTGTAGTTATCAGTTTGGTTATAAGATCCGTGACGTCACGAATCAGCTGTTATATGTCATAGTTATCACCGCAAAATTGTGGTATTTACCCAACTCAAGAGTAGTTTTATATTTCTGGTTATTATTTGAAATGTGACAAGTTAGAATTTTGCCGGGTATTGGATATTGTTATTGTACTTCAGCTTCATTTTTGAGAAAAATGATACAGGCTGACTTCAGTTTTACCATAAAGTGGAGCACCTTATTAGTTATACTCATTACGGTTGTTGGGGACACTTTAAATGTAGTTCCTATGCTTAACAAAGTATCCTGTGTACCCATATACCACAAGAATATTAAAATATGGCCATATAAACTCACTAGATGATATCCACCTGTATACGGTTTTGCTAATTTCTTTTTTCATCATTTCTGCTGAATCAATAAATGTTTTCTTTGACATGCGGAAAAAATTAGAGAATTGAAAGTTATCATAGCTACAAAGCCATGGGTCCATCATTAAAAAAAATCTGAAAAAGACATTTCTCCCATGAATATTATGAAAGGTTTCTTATTTAAACTTTCCATATACAGTTGTAGACGAAAAAGCACCGATTATTAAGTAATAATAAAAATAATCAGAAATAATATACTGGCTTTTCTAAAATAAACAACTTGCAACAAAACCGCGGTTAAAACCAACGCGTTCAAGCGATTCGTGTAACTGACGTCATCAACCCGTGTGTCATCTTGAACCATATTATAACCGCGGCACATAACACAGAAATTTTGGTTATTCGCTTGGATTTGATTAAAGTATCCTGTGTAGCCATATACCACAAGAATATTAAAATATGGCCATATAAACTCACTAGATGATATCCACCGGTATACGGTTTTGCTAATTTCTTTTTTCATCATTTCTGCTGAATCAATAAATGTTTTCTTTGACATGCGGAAAACTTTAGAGAATTGAAAGTTATCATAGCTACAAAGCCATGGTTCCATCATTAAAAAAAAAATCTGATAAAAACATTTCTCCCATGAATATTATGAAAGGTTTCTTATTTAAACTTTCCATATACAGTTGTAGACGAAAAAGCACCGATTATTAAGTGATAATAAAAATAATCAGAGATTATATACGCGCTTTTTTAAAATAAACAACTTGCAACAAAACCGCGGTTAAAACCAACGCGTTCAAGCGATTCGTGTAACTGACGTCATCAACCCGTGTGTCATCTTGAACCATATTCTAACCGCGGCACATAACACAGAAATTTTGGTTATTCGCTTGGATTTGATTTATACCTACGCGTCCAGCTTTTTTTGACAGGTTGATGACGTTGACATTTGTGGTTGACAACCTGGAAGTTGTGTGTTCTGTGTTGTGTGTATTTCTAATTTCTATAAGTGTATAATCAAATCCAAGCGAATAACCAAAATTTCAGTATTTCGGCTCTGTGCCTACGGCCTGACCGTTGAGATTACGTTCCCTATCTACAGCTCCGGAGTCAGTATGTGTGCGTCTCTAGTCCCCCTTACCTTCGTCCTCCTCCCCTTTCTGTACGCCCATGCTCCTTGGAGCGATGCGCGCGCTGGCTAGTGGCGAGCGATTCCCCGCTCGCCCTTCAGTACGCTTTTATCTATCGCACGGATAGGGTGTGTGCGTGTGCGTATGTGTAACATCGCGAGTTAAACGTTGTGTAACGTTCGAGAGAATAATAGTATAAATGCAAAAGTAAGAGACAAAAACCTTAGTTGACAATTTAGTGTAGATGGCTACCATTTGATATAAAATTGTCACGGTCTCGGATCACTCGGTCCAGACGTGAGACTCCCTTCTAATGCATCTTGGGCAAATTCGCTAGAGCATAATATGGGCACTTGTGTGCAAGCGCACAATGCCCATTCATAGGAAATTGAAGGGAGTCCTGCAGCCGGATCCATCTACACAATGTTTCGGCCCGACCGGCCCGTCAAGTCGGCCCGACCAGCTGCAGACTTCGGCCCGACCGGCTGCAGACTTCGGCCCGACCGGCTGCAGACTTCGGCCCGACCGGCCGCTAAATTCGGCCCGACCGGCTGCGAATTTTGGCCCGACCGGCCGCTACGTTCGGTCCGACCGGCTGCAAATTTTGGCCCGACCGGCTGCAGAATTTGGCCCGAACGGCTGCAGATTTCGGCCCGACCGGCTGCATTTTTGGCCCGACCGACTAACTAATTATAGCACATCTGCTTCCAGATGGCGATGGCAACCAATTTTGTTACTCTGGGTGAACTCTGGTCCAGCCACGTTGAAATGGAGGAAGAAGATGAAGCGATATTTTCCAGAATCAAGGTCTTAATAGAGAACCATCTGCCAGACGGCTGGAGAGACTGGAAGGTGATTGACTGGAAGAAAGAAGATCTATTTGGGAAAAAGATAGACCACAAAGTATTGAACAAAATTCGCTTCGCCCTCCCCACATTGGAACTGGTGAAAGCATTCTACCCAGAAGCAACATCGGTGGGAGAGAAAACCTACCGAAATATAAAATTGAGGCTTCTCGACTGGAACCTCTGTAGAGCATTGATCATGAGCCCACGGCAGGTAGCGTGTCAGTTACGAGGATCTATGGCTCAAGCGGAGCTCTTTAATAAGGCGGTGGAACCACTTAAACATACTATGCGTTCCAGAGAGCTGACGTCGGAGGCCCTTTCAATTATACGTCCCGAAGTAAAAGGAGACGGTGTCAATCGTCCAGCTCAGACGACGAGTACCCGGTCAGAACCGAGAAACCAATGAAGAGGAGGCGGCGAGTATTGTCTTCGAGCGCGGAGGAGGATGTCAATGAGACAAGGCTACGCCGCGTGGAAAGCATGGTCGAGAATCTTTACCACTTGGTCTCAGGAAATAAAGAGAACGATGGCAGCGTCATGAATTCGACGTGGCAAGCTCCAACTCCTACAGGTGAAGAGCTGTATGACGCCGACAGTATTGGCACATGTGGCAGCGTAAACGACTGGGACACGTTTTCCCCTGTCACTAGGGAAATCGAGCCTACAGTCCCTAGGGCGGACCCAGTAATCGAGACACAGGGCATGAAATGCCAGCGTTTCGGGGAAGAGACATGGAACAAGATTCGTTACGTGGACGCTCAGAAAAAACTCCACGCATCACCAGTCTTCAGTACTCTGAAGGTTAACTCATCCTTGTACAACAAAAGAGCAGCTGAAAGATGTGGTTAAAATGCATGGAGTGACGAAAATTGCTCCTGTCCGCTGGCAGAGTAATTTGGGAAAAGTCGCACTGAGACAGAAGGTGCCTTAAGGAACTTCTCATGAAAAGTATCTGCGTCAAGGTTCATTTAAAAAAAAATGAAGAAGGCAGAGTTTAAGCATTCGCGTAAGCCGGGGGCGAAAAGTCATACCAAGCTAGCTCGTAAGGAGCAACCACCTTTAGATAAAAGGCGGAGTTTTTGACAGTTTTCAGGCAGGACAACTCGCCAAATATGTCTCTGCTTGGAAAAGTATGGGAGCCTCACAATCGATTCTCAGTATCCTGAAAGGCTACGTGATCCCTTTCTCAATAAAGCCACCAATAACAGTACTATCCCAACCGATACTAAACAAATTCGAGACACCAGCATCCACACAAATGGATCGAGAAATACAAAACCTCATAAATCAAAAGGTGGTAGTAAAACTGCAAACAAAAACAGGTTTCTTATCAAAGATGTTTTTGACGCCGAAATCGGGGGGCTTGTGGAGACCAGTGTTCAATCTAAAAAGATTGAACAGCTTCATCACGCCCAAGAAGTTCCGCCTTATGAACCATCGCAAACTGCCATTATTTCTCCAGGAAAGAGATTATATGGTAAAAGTCGACCTTTCTCAAGCATATTTCCATTTGCCAATAAAGCAAAAGCATTGGCGTTATCTGAGACTTTATTACCGGCAAAACATCTACGCTATGACAGCACTACCATTTGGCCTAAGCTCCGCTCCACAGGTGTTTGCAAAAGTTACGAACTGGGTGGCGAGCTACTTGAGGAAACAAAACATTCGAGTAATGGTCTATTTGGACGATTTTTTGATCGCAAACCAGAATCCAGAAGAACTAAAGCGAGAGGTATCCACCCTGATAGATACTCTCATAAAGCTGGGTTTCTGCATCAACCTGGAGAAGTCCGAAATAAGACCTACACAGAAATTGGCATATCTAGGTATTATGTGGAACACCATAAGAAATCAAAAGAGTTTACCGGAGGACAAAATCCACCGTCTGCAAACATCAATCCAAGCTGGAATCAAGAGCAAGACTTGGAGCTGGAAGCAGGTAAAGGCACTGCTAGGGAGAATGGAATTTGCCTCGTTTGTTATCCCATTGGGTCGACTACTTTGCAGAAAGATACAAAGAGCAGTCAATCGGATGTCAGAAAACCAACCAAAGAAACTGTTCAATATAGACCTGGAAGTATTGCGAGAGCTAAGATGGTGGGAGAAAAACTTAAAAGGGTCATCCATAATCTGCATGAAAGAACCGGAAGTTCATATAATAACCGATGCCTCAAACACGGGCTGGGGAGCCCAAGTAGGAGACACTTTGAGGAAAGGAAACTGGACAGAGCAGCAGGAAAAGTGGCATATCAACAAAAAAAAAAAAAAGAAATGTTCGTGATCTACTTAGCGCTAAGAAACCACCTAGATCGATTGGCAAACAAAACACTGTTAATTCAGACGGACAACAGGACGGTGGTTTCCTACTTGAGAAATCAAGGAGGAACCAAGTCGGTCACGCTTTTGGCATTGACCAGGAAGATCCTGGAGCTGGCACATCAATACAGTATGTCTCTGAGAATAGAACATATTCCAGGAAACTACAATATTGTGACCGACCACCTATCCAGAGGAAAGGATCTGCCAGACTGGCACTTATCAAGGATAGCTCAGAAGAGGATCTTCGAAAAGTGGGGAACCCCTTGCATCGACCTATTTGCGACTCCAGAATCAGCCGTCGTTACAAGATTTGTAACGCAATTCCCATGCAAGGAGGCAGAATTCGTCAACGCATTTACAAGAACGTGGGAGTACAAGCTAGCGTGGATATTCCCTCCTCCACCCCTAATACCAAGAGTTCTCCAACACCTCAACTATTGTCAGGGAGTTTTCATAATGATAGTCCCCAGGTGGGAAAGGGTGTTCTGGCGGCCCCTGCTGAAGAGACGTGCCATCGACCACCCGTTCACCATTCGGAATCTGAAGGCTCACCTGGAAGATCTTCAAACCAACCAGCCTCCTCCAAAGGTAATGGATTTACACCTGGAGGCATGGAAGATACGGGGTGGTCCGATATAGCGAATCACTGGTCAAAGGATGAAAGGAGAATCTTAGAAACATCCTGGCGCAAGTCAACTCTCAAAACGTATGCCGTTGCATGGAAAAGTTGGCAATCGTGGGCGAAGAAAAGAAGAGTTTCAGTTAAAAATCCAAACCCCACGCAGGTGGCTCAATACCTCTGCTTCCTACACAACACAAGAAAATTGGCGCTTAGAACGATCCTATTACATAAATCCACCATTGCGACATTCTCCAATCCACTACATAGTGAAGGAGTTTCCAGTAGCCCAACAGTGAAACAGGTAATTAGAGGTATTGCAAATGCAAATCCTCCAGCAACTAGGCCAAAGATTTGGAACATCGATAAACTTCTATCTTGGATTAATGATAACCATCCAGATACGAATAGTATCTTTCAAGTGGCCCGGCATCTATCGCTGCTTTTGCTGCTATCATCGGGAAGGAGAGTCCATGACTTGACACTCCTTCGAATAGATTCTGGTTTCTTTGAACAAACCGAAGAATACATAATTTTCTGGCCACAACATGGATCTAAGACAGACAAGCATAACTACGTCCAGTCAGGCTGGAAACTCCTCAAAAATCGAGAATGCATCTGGGATCTAGTACACTGGACAACCATATATCTAGAAATATCAGAAAAGAGAAGGAACCTCCACTGTCGACCGATTCCTCAACTATTCGTCACAACTCGTGGGAAGATAGGACCGGCATCTCGGTCAGTGATAGCAGGATGGGTCCGCACAGCGTTGAAATCGGCAGGTATAGAAGGAGGAGCCGGCAGTACCCGCTCGGCAGTGGCAACATCCCGCTTCAATGATAACATGCCATTGGATGAGGTTTTGCAGAAAGGAAATTGGCAGGGATCAAGCAATTTCTTCAAACACTACTATAAAAATATCGATAAGGATTTGGTACCTGACAACAGCAACAGAAGACTTATTTCGGATAAATTTGTCCCTATATAAGTATTATCATGGCTGTGAGCCAAGAATGACTGTTACTTTTCTTTTTATGAACTGTTAGAGTTATCATATTCTGTTTATGGTCTTCATACTATAACCATGTCACAGTACGCTTTCTAACACCGTGGCGCGCCGGCAGATTGTAAACACTTCTCAACGGTCAGGCCGTAGGCACAGAGCCGAAATAGAACAATTTTCCCCCTGAAGGGAAGAAAATTGATATTTCGGGTCTTGCCATAGGCCTGACCTAGGTAACGCCTTGCCGGCGCAAGAGTACTGAAGGGCGAGCGGGGAATCGCTCGCCACTAGCCAGCGCGCGCATCGCTCCAAGGAGCATGGGCGTACAGAAAGGGGAGGAGGACGAAGGTAAGGGGGACTAGAGACGCACACATACTGACTCCGGAGCTGTAGATAGGGAACGTAATCTCAACGGTCAGGCCTATGGCAAGACCCGAAATATCAATTTTCTTCCCTTCAGGGGGAAAATTGTTCTATTATGTACCGCGGTTATAATATGGTTCAAGATGACACACGGGTTGATGACGTCAGTTACACGAATCGCTTGAACGCGTTGGTTTTAACCGCGGTTTTGTTACGAGTTGTTTATTTTAGAAAAGCGCGTATATAATCTCTGATTATTTTTATTATCACTTAATAATCGGTGCTTTTTCGTCTACAACTGTTTATGAAAAGTTTAAATAAGAAACCTTTCATAATATTCATGGGAGAAATATTTTTTTCAGTTTTGTTTTTAATGATGGAACCATGACTTTGTTGCTATGATAACTTTCAATTCTATAAATTTTTCCGCATCTCAAAGAAAACATTTATTGATTCAGCAGAAATGATGAAAAAAGAAATTAGCAAAACCGTATACAGGTGGATATTATATAGTGAGTTTATATGGCCATATTTTAATATTCTTGTGGTATATGGCTACACAGGATACTTTGTTAAGCATAGGAACTACATTTAAAGTGTCCCCAACAACCGTAATGAGTATAACTAATAAGGTGCTCCACTTTATGGTAAAACTGAAGTCAGCCTGTATCATTTTTCTCAAAAATGAAGCTGAAGTACAATAACAATATCCAATGCCCGGCAAAATTATAACTTGTCACATTTCAAATAATAACGAGAAATATAAATCTACTCCTGAGTTGGGTAAATACCACAATTTTGCGGTGCTAACTATGACATATAACAGCTGATTCATGACGTCACGGATCTTATAACCAAACTGATAACTACACTCGCTTGAACGGATTGGTAAATACCAACCCAAAATGGTAAATACCATTTCCATTTGGTTATTCGCTTGAATTTGATTTATATCTGCCCCTCATGTACGTTGTAGTTTACTTTTTGGCGCCATAAATATATGAAAAAGATAATTATAAATGTCCGAAATGGAGTCTAATGTGAAGAAATACATCATTAGTGTTCTCACCTCGTCACCACTTAAATCAAATTCAAGCGGATAACCAAATGGAAATGGTATTTACCATTTTGGGTTGGTATTTACCAATCCGTTCAAGCGAGTGTAGTTATCAGTTTGGTTATAAGATCCGTGACGTCACGAATCAGCTGTTAGATGTCATAGTTATCACCGCAAAATTGTGGTATTTACCCAACTCAAGAGTAGTTTTATATTTCTGGTTATTATTTGAAATGTGACAAGTTAAAATTTTGCCGGGTATTGGATATTGTTATTGTACTTCAGCTTCATTTTTGAGAAAAATGATACAGGCTGACTTCAGTTTTACCATAAAGTGGAGCACCTTATTAGTTATACTCATTACGGTTGTTGGGGACACTTTAAATGTAGTTCCTATGCTTAACAAAGTATCCTGTGTAGCCATATACCACAAGAATATTAAAATATGGCCATATAAACTCACTAGATGATATCCACCTGTATACGGTTTTGCTAATTTCTTTTTTCATTTCTGCTGAATCAATAAATGTTTTCTTTGACATGCGGAAAAAATTAGAGAATTGAAAGTTATCATAGCTACAAAGCCATGGGTCCATCATTAAAAAAAATCTGAAAAAGACATTTCTCCCATGAATATTATGAAAGGTTTCTTATTTAAACTTTCCATATACAGTTGTAGACGAAAAAGCACCGATTATTAAGTAATAATAAAAATAATCAGAAATAATATACTGGCTTTTCTAAAATAAACAACTTGCAACAAAACCGCGGTTAAAACCAACGCGTTCAAGCGATTCGTGTAACTGACGTCATCAACCCGTGTGTCATCTTGAACCATAACATAACACAGAAATTTTGGTTATTCGCTTGGATTTGATTTTACTATGACGATAAATCAGCTGAGTAAGGACTACAGAAATATGCTCGGGGAGGAAATACCATACCACAAATTAGGATACAATTCCATGGAACATTTCTTGAAATCCATCTCTGATACAGTACAGGTAAGTGCCTAGTATTGTGTGTTCACAATCAAATAAGACGAAAAGTATGCCTAGTAAAACGTTCTTCTATTGAACCTCTGTGCTGATTAGAAATAAGAAGACTTGTCACTGTTGCCTCCTAGAAATAAGTGGAATGCATAGATTTATGAAAGGTCTCATTGATTCTTGTTTTGAATTACTACACTAACAATTTTATATCAGCTTCTGTCATTTTGAATGATCCTAAAACCAAACATTAATTTGGATGTTTCCACAGATTATTAGCTAGTTGTTTTATTGCACGACCTTGCAAATTTGGAATCAACAAATTGTTTCACAAATACTTTCTTTTTTTAAATGCCAACAGTTGCACTTGTTCTCAATAATGTAATACTTTTCACAAATTATTTGATATATCCCTCCATCTTTGCTAATCTTGTCTCAAGTGGCTTATTATTAAAATATTTCCAAAACATGATCGAAATACATATTTTCTCACAAATAGCTTTTGCTGAGCAAGTAGTCTGAGAATGCAGTGCGTATTCAGAATTGTTTACTTATGTGTCTGCATGGTGGCTTTTGAACTTTTCAGTTTTTAATGATTCAATGTAAGCTGACGAAGATTCAGCTAAAGTTTTTGTACTCATTATACTAGATATATAGTAACATAACAATGATCTATTTGTGTTTTTTACTGAATCCTCCATTAAGAAACTTATACTTGCAAGAGGATAGGTAGAGATACAAAGAAAAGGAATATATAAGAAGCTGTGTGAAAAAGGGTCACTATCATAATAACAATAAATTGACTGTTTCATTGCTTCAAGAGCTTTTTACTTTCAATGCCACTAGCGAGAAAGTATTGTAAAAGTTTTATAAAAATGAGATTCACCTTTTTTGGATGTTATATGATATGTACATAATGAAAAATCATCTCATTTCTGTCTGCTAATCCTTGGTCCATCTATAACTTGGAACGCACTACTTGCTTTTTGATGAATTTTCCACCAATGTTACTGCTATGCTCAAAAAAAAAAAAAATTGGAGGGTATATCTCAAATTTTTGTCAGTATTATACTTATATGCTTTCAGCCCTGGTAATTCTTCACACCTATTAGACATATTTCACACATCATAGATTTTCGCATACATTTACTCTTAAAACTTTACAGAAATATCTTTGGTACACATCTCTAGCATTATGGTCTCCTCCATGAGTGTCATTCCATGACAGCTCAGTGGATAATTGTATCAGCATGTTTGACTGACTTGATCTGTTTAATTTGCTCTGCTCTGTATCTGCGTAAATTTTTTTGCATCAACCTACTTGATGTCATTTGTTTTAGTAAAAATAACCTGAACTTAGATGAAATTTCTTGGCAGCTCCACATAAAACACCACAGTGCTGCTATCACCTTATGTGTTTGAACTAGACATACATTTACATTAACTCTGCTGATCCTTTCCTTGTCTCTGTAGGTTTATTTCCAGTTCAAACAGAACTCCCAAGTTCATTTTACAGTATTGATGATTTATTATTACTCTTTCAAAAAAAGCTTGTTGGTGTCACACCATATATTTATTGGTAAGATATATGAGAATAACATTTCTTTCAGGTTAAAGGCAGTGGGCCCATGGCAACAGTACTCCCTGTCATTTCTGAAAAGTCCAAGCATATAAATGAACTTGTTACAAATCAAAAGATAACTAGGAAAAAGACTTCACACAGGTATATATCTTTATGTGACACTAAAAATTCCAGTTTGGCTTAAAGCACATGGATCTTTTGGAAGTGAGAAATTCAAGACATTGGTTGATACTTCAAAATACAGTACAATATTTTTTGTTCATAAAACCAAATTAATGAATACTCTGGGAAGTAAAGTAGAATTATATTTCATCATGGGAAAATATAATCTCCTGTTTGTCACTCAACCATGACACTTCTATTGTGAAAAAGTACATAGACTTATTAATTCAAACTTCTTCAATAATCATTTGTAGAACAATCACATGCTTACTTTACTAACAGACAGCAAAATTAAGATAGGAGTTCAGTTATATATTATCTATATGGATAGATTTTTAAAACGTTTAGAGCATAATCAAAGGATTTTGTCAGTCATACAAACTAGGAGAATTGGTAGGAAAAAATAAAACTCTTGAGTAGGTGATTTTGTGAAAAGATGATAGGGAAAAGTGGTTACTGTATTCACCCATAAACTTAATTTTTTAGTTAGTGATATTAAATTGGTATTTTGGTGCATATAGCACATAATATGAAAATAAATCAAATTCTGGTGCTGTTTTTGAAATGACCCATTCAAGTACCCAGTGTCGAGTAGTAGTTCATGCAGAAAGCAACTACCTTTTCTCTCAGTGAAAAAGTCTGTTGCTAAAAATTGACCTAAGCGGTTTTTCAAATGTTTGACTGATTCAGTTGTGTGTTTTATTTTAATCTGCAAGGTCATGTTATTAATGCTAAAACATTTTGTAGGCAATCCTTCCCCATTCAACAGAGGAAACATCTCCAATATCAAAAACCAGTAATCACAAATCCTTACAAACAACCTGGTACACAACCTCAACGCCACAAGATTTTTTATCCACCAAGCGAGAGCAGTTCCTCATATCAAAGCTATCCTGAGAAACCAGTCCAAAAACCAGTTGATGAACCAGTCGAGAGACCCAATCAGCAACCAGTTCTGAATACAAGTACACCTGAAAATCGTGAACGAAATCCCTCTAAGTTGAATTTAGCGACAAATAAATTGCCCGAGAAGAGCCCAGATATTTACAAGAGGATTGTTGATAGTCATATGCCAAAATCTAGCTCAAGTGTTGAAGAAAAGAGGTGGGTAAAAGGTTTCATCTTATCAAAGGTGTGCGGTCTACTGACTGTTGTTTGAATGTTGGGAAATAATTTAAAACATTTTTCTTTTGATATTGTTGTATGGTTTTTTTTATTCCAGTGATTCGCAAAATTCCGCTGGCTGTGGCAGAACTAAAAAACTTTTATTCGATAGAATACCGGCTGAGGTAGGCGATATTCAAAGCAATGTCCCTCTACCAATAAGAGAAAATCTAAGGTTTTTGATAGGACAACATGAAAATGGGATATGGTGTGCAGATCTTCCCAAACTCTATAGGTAAAGACGCCACTTATTCATGCATTTAAAAAAATGATTTGTTTCTAAATATCACTTCTAGAAAAATGTAGTGCTTGTCTATAAGTATTCTGAGAATATGTGGCAGTTTTATGAATAATAAAGATCTTGAACCTGATTATAGGAATTCCAACAAACAGAAATGAAAATTAAATCGTCAAGTGTTGATAATAAATTTTAATGAATATGTTTCAGTCATGTTATTAGTAATATTAATCTTATATTTTCCTTTTATTTCAAGTCAATTAATAGCTTAATGTTGCTAATATTCCACTTAATTTCCTTCTCTTCTACTGTAGCAGACCATGCTTCTTCCAAAAACAAAATAGTGAAATCTTCCAGCCCTAAAAACGCCAAAACTTCGTGCTACTTCTTTAAAATGTTTCACCTAGCTACTCATCTTTTGGAGGAAGAGTGGTAATTTTAAATGAGATTGGTAATTTGAAATATTACTTCAATTAATGTAATGTTTACGACAACAAGCCTGTTCCAACAGAATAGTTCAGAACTAGTTCTGAACTGTAGTTACCTCACACATGTGCAGAAAAATAATTCAGAATTAGTTCAGAACTAGTTCGGAACTGCTTGTTGGAACAAACCTTCAGTTATCTTGATATTTTTTTTTTCAGGTCAATGTTTTGCAAGGATATAAACTATGAAGATTTTGGTTATGCAAGCTTGAGCCAACTTTGCATATCGTTACCCTCAATATTCCTCTATTGTCGTCCTTCTGATTCTGATTTCAGATTGTATGATAGAAACAAACCCTTGCCACCAAGTGCAGAGACAAAATTCACTGTTGCCAGTTATACAGTTGGAAGTAAAAATCTAAATGAAGGTGAAATCTGTGCTTTGCCAAATATTGAGGTAAGGAGCATAATATAATAGGATCTAGAAGCTTATTTATTAAGGCTGTGTTAAAGTTTCAAGGTTCAGGTATTTTTTTACTTTTCATCCCAGCTACAAGGCTTTTAACATATTGTGTGTAACTTAGATCAGAATGTAACTGGCATGTGTCTTAAGTTGTCATGGGGCACAATTTGAAGTATAATTGTGAAATTTTAGTATACCTGGTGGCACTCGCAATGTCAAGACAAATCTAGAAACACCTCATGACTGTAGCCCGTGTAATAGGCATTTCAGCGTTTATTTTTGACTAAAATCCACCGTTTTGTTTTTATAAAATTTTAATATAGTCAGTGTGTAAAATAGAATAGTTTGCTTTCTGACTACTGTAACTATGACCCACCGCAGCTCATGCTGTTTTGTCCTTATTCGCAACTCATCAGGATCTTTTACCTGGTATTCCGACCACTTGACACGTTGCCCTGATGGTGCTGCGCGACATCTCTGCACTTAGCTTATGACGTCGAGCAGTATGTCCTAAAGTACGTAAAGGGCCATTCAAGTGTTACATAAGCAGATTTTTGGCAATTATTAACCCACTTCTCTCAGTAAGCAAGTCTCTTACATCCCCCTCCATAAACATTTTGGTACATTTTACAATTTGAAGCAAGTGGTAGCTTTGACGTGCATGTTCTGAATACTATTTAATGTCTTGAAAATCTGGTTTGCCTCTTCCAACATACTTTTCAGTAACATGATAACCATCAATTTCCATTGCACTCTCTGCTAATGCATTTCCGGTAAACTCGAAATTGTATCTTTCTAAATGTTCCTTAATTGCCACGTTCATCCAGATGAGACCCAAAATGGTCATGAGGCATCAAACCAGCCAGTTCTCGACTAAAAGGAGCCATTATGCACTTTACTCAGTTATTCGCATTTCTACTACGAGTATTTATAGCCAAGGTTCTAAGTGAGTAAGCATATCCCTATCTGGTGAATTCCTGAAGATGCATTATGCTTTCGAGCATCGACAAGCAAGGTTGACGTACAGTAGCAGACAAAGTTTGGAAACATACTTAGTGATTTCTAAAAAGTGCGCTAATTTTGTATTCTTTATTATTAAAGACTATTTTTTTCTCATATAGTTCGCTTACAGTCGTGAGGATACAAATGGCAATGTGTGTTTGCTGTGGTACTTCAGACTAGCATTAAAATACCTTCATATTATTTTATGACCAAAAATGAAACGACAGAAGTATGGAAACATATTTTTCATTACAAAATTAAATACAATAACTCTATAAAAAGACTTAAAAAATACTGTTTAGCTATTATTTGGTAGCATAGACTTTAGCATTCAACACTGCCTGACATCTGCTGCTCTTAGAAGGCACCAATTTTTTACAGATGTCTGTTGGTATATTCTGCCAAATATTATTTACATAATCAAATGATTCCTATTTTTAAAAGTTTTTCTTGCCAGTTCAACATGCCCCCATAGATGTTCTATAGGGTTAAGGTCCGGGAATTGCGAGGGCCATGTAAGAACAATAACATTTTTTAGTCTTAATCAGTCCTTTACGAATTTTGAGGTATGCTTGGGGTCGTTATCTTGCCGGAAAAGGGAGCATGTGTTATGTTTGTAAAGTTTTTGATCCATTTTCTCAACAATTTTAAAAATTGGACCCGTTCCAGAAGTAGAAAAACAGCCCCATACCACCTGGGCCGCGTTGCTGTTGATCCGTATTTTTGATATTTACTAATAATTTTCGAAATCGTCCCTTTGTTCATTTTTAATCTTTGAGAAATGTCAACATTTCTGACACCACTCCTAAATAATTCAAGTACATTGTCTCTTAAATCTTTTGAAAATTCTTTTACTTTTGCCATTCTCACTGATGTTAATATTTACCGCACGCAATATCAGAGTATCGCAGAACGAATAAATACGCCAAAACTGAAATATTTCATTACTTTTTTCTACTGTGGTATTTAAAAAAACGCGTGTTTTTATTTTCAGAGAATTTTGATAAGACAAACCTTATATAAGTGCGGGGGCCAAGGGTAGTCATTAATATTTATATTCTGTTCCTTCACAATTTGAATTCAGGTATATGAAATAGTTCATAATAATGTTAATATGACTAAATTTTGTAGAGAAACCAAAAACATAAATAATTATTACTGAGATAATCAGAATCTATCTCTATGTCATCAAAAATAAGCAAAGTCAAGAACCCCGCCCCCACTAGCGCTTACGTAATACTTGAATGCTCCCTAAGGGTATCTCTATTACCTTCTTGGTACGTGGATGATGATGAAATTCTGCTTGATGAAACCTTTGGTAGGTGGCTATAGTCAGATTTTCATCTACCCTGTTTCTGAAGCAGTTTGGTGAGAAACAAAATAGAAGTGTGTGATCGAATTTGAGATAATTCGCTTGATTACCGTCCAGACCGTCGGACTGTATACATCGCACCGATTAGCGGGTCGATGGTAGTGCCTCTTTATTAGGGAAAAAGATCGGAAATTTCATTGTGGCTATATCTGACGTAGTGCTATGGTTAGTGCATGCGGTGCAGTATCTTGATTGGTAAAATTTGCCTCAATTACTGATTTACGTCGTAGTATTCTTACTTATAGTGGTCATAAGTACCATTTTTCTGTATCGTTATCAGTTGCCTGCTAGAAAAACCTGTGGAATTTGTGGTATTTTGTTGCAATTTTTGCATATAGTTCAGGCAATTAGGTCCATGCTAGAGTCATGGCACCTGATGTGGAAGTATGCATAGTATGTAGTGATAACTTTATATATTTATAGTGTGCACGAAAATAGTAAAGTGTGGCCTTTGCAAGCTTAAATTCCATACGTCATGCGTATCTGTGAGAGACAGCTGGTTAAAAATCTTTTCAGAATGCGAAAATATATTTTGGCTTTGCGACGATTGTAAATGCTCCTTGCAGTCAGTCAGTAATGAGACAAAAACTGACATAACATTATTGAGAAAAGAGTTGGAAAGCGTCAATCGAGAATTGGATTCAACTAAAAAACTTTTAACTAATCTCGAATACACTGTACAGTTGCAAAAATCCCTGCTGAAGTCGTACGAAGAACGTGAACCTGCAAAATCTCAAGCATGTGGTAGTAGCCAGGTCAATGTACATCAACCTGGTCTTCTTTTTAGTGATATAGTAAAACAGAAGAATAGGGACAACTCATATGTTCTTTTGGTTCAATCTGTTGGTAGCAACACCTCCGACACAAGTAAAGTGTTAGATGACATAAAATCATCTGTCAATTTGGCCAGCATGAATATATGTGTAAATGATACACGTAAAATCCGTAACGGTGTGGCGGTTCATTGTAAAGACGATGCATCTTTGAACTCATTGAAAACTAGTCTTGATGCAAAGTTGGCATCTAATTATACAATATCTGAGGCCAAGAAATTAAATCCAAGGTTAATAATAAAAAATGTTAATTTGGATGGTATTGATTCGCCAGATGATATTATAACGAATATAGCTACCCTGAATAATTTAACTGTTACGCAAAAATCTCAGATTGAATTTGTTACTAAACTTAGACTTAAGAGCGGAACTAGTGTTGTCATTGAAGTGACACCTGATTTAAGAAAATCCCTGTTACAAATAGGTTCGTTGTTCATTGGTTGGAAAAAGTGTTTCATTTCTGACCATTTGCGCTTGATGAAATGTTACAAATGTTGTTCAGTCGGCCATACTGAAGCTGCTTGCAATCAGAGCTTGCATGCCTAGATGCTGCAGAGAACACAAACTGAAAGAGTGCAAGTCGGAGGCGCTACAATGCATTAACTGTGTTAATCATAACAAGTCACATAAAAAGAGCTTGCCCACAGATCATTCTGCTAACTTTCCTGGATGTCCTGTGTACCAAGGTTATGTTGACAATTTGAAGCAGCGCGTGGACTATGGGAAGTAATAAAAATGATGTTTTAAAAATTTGCCATATAAATGTTCGATCACTTACAGCTTCTTTTAATGAGTTTTCTTTGCTGGTAAAAGATTAATTTGATATTATAGCTGTGTCTGAAACTTGGCTTTCGCACAGATAGAATTGGCAGAGGTGGTGGGGTTGGCATATACGCAAAGGCTAATCTGAGATTCAGTACTGTTAATATCGATTTTTTTGGGTAACACATAGACAATCTTGTTTCTTTCTTTATGCCTCAATATGATGACATTATTCTTCTTGGAGACATGAATATTGATATGTTCGATACCACTAATGTACTCAGCAGTTGTCTTGATTTTTATGGTTTCAGGCAGGTCATCGATGAGCCTACTCGTATTTCTCGATTTAGTTCTACTTTAATTGATGTCATATTTTTAAATAATATTGAAAGTGTTCTCAACTCTGGTACCTTAAATGCAGATCTGATATCTGACCACAAACTAGTATTCTGTGAATTAAATATTAAAACCGTTTCATCGGAGGAAACATTCATAACCTATAGGGATTTTAAGAACATTGATGTAATCAAATTCAAGCAGGATTTGGCTGCAGCTGGCTTAGAAGAAATGCTGTATATTACCGATATTAACTCCAAAATTCTAATCCTTTATGGGGTGCTTATTGAGCTTTTTAACTTTCATGCTCCTATTCGGACGGCTCGTGTCACCAAAAAAGCTGCTCCATGGTTAACTTTCGCACTTAAGGTCATTCTTAAGGTGAGAGATGAGGCTTTAATTAAATTTCGTCACAATCCATCAGATGAAAATTGGACAGCGTATAAACAGTTAAGAAATTATTCACTTGCTTCAATCCGGCGTGAGAAAAAGGCATATTTATCTCGCTTTGATAATCTCAATTCTAGAAAAGCTTGGGATCAGCTGAGAGCAATGAATATTTGTCCCCAGAAACACATTGAAATACCCTATGATCTGTTAGACCCTAATGAAGTCAATAACCACTTCATGTTAAATTACCAAAATCTTAATATCAATTCCCGTTTGATTGAGAGTACAGTAGAGTTTTATGAGAACAGCTTTAACAGCCAAGATGTAACTCCATTTACATTTAGAATGATGACCGCTGAAGAAATTTTGGACATAGTTACCTCTATCAAGTCACCTGCTACAGGGAGTGATGAAATTAATTTGAACATGCTAGGATACTGCTTACCAGAAATTTTATTGTATTTAACACATATTGTTAATATATGCCTTGAGACCGGGACTTTTCCTGATGCTTGGAAGGAAGCTATTATCATCCCTTTAGCCAAAGGCAAAAATCCAACCACTCATAATCATTTGCGGCCTGTTAGTTTGCTGTGCTTTTGTTCGAAGGTATTAGAGAAAGCAGTGTACATTCAACTAGTGGAATATTTAGAGCAAAATAACTTGTTTTCTCCTCATCAATCAGGATTTCGTGCGGGACATAGCACTACTTCAGCTTTGCTCCATCTAACTGACAACATCGTAGGTAACTTAGACAGACCTATTAATACCATATTAGTGATGATTGATTTCTCAAAAGTCTTTGATACAGTTAATCACAAAATCATGTTGAGAAAGCTGAAGTACATTGGATTATCTGATATACCGCTAAGATTTTTCCAAAGCTACTTGGTAGAAAGAAAACAATTAGTTAAGACGGTTAGGGGCGTCTCTTCTAGTACTGTGGTTTCGTCTGGCGTTCCGCAGGGGTCAGTTCTGGGACCCCTGCTATATTTAATTTACACTATAGACTTAGATTCGTGTGTGGAATGTTGTTCTATACAAATGTATGATGATGACACACAATTATCATTTCACTTCACATATGCTCAGTTAAATGAAGTGTCGTTTAAAATGAATACTGACCTGATCAATATTACGGATTTTTGTAAAAAGCACTGTCTCAGGATCAATCCTGAAGAGTTCAAGTATGCTTTTTTCTCCGAAACACATGTATAATAACATAAAGGACGCAATTGTACTCATTATAAATAACGAGCGCATCCCCATGGTAGAACATTCTAAAAACCTGGGTGTTATCTTGGACTCTAACTTGAAGTTTGATAGGCACATCGGTTACCTGTCTCAAAAAACATATGCCAAATTAAAACTTTTATATTCCAACCGTTTCATTTTAAACTTTAAGACTAGGAAAAAATTAGTTGAAAGCCTGATCCTGTCATCTTTGCAACATTCTCTGATTTTATTCTATTCTTATTTGGATTCGTCGGATCGGTATAGGTTACAAAAAATTCAAAACGGCTGCTGCAGGTTTGTGTTTGGGCTTCGTAAATATAGTCATGTCTCTTCGAAGATTAAAGATTTAAATTGGTTAAAGATGGAATCACAGTTTGTTTATGCTATGAAGGTGTTTGTCCATAAAGTAGTTCGCACAAAAAAACCACCGTACATTTTAGAAAAGCTAGTACCAAGAGGTAACATTAATCAGAGAAATCTCAGACACAACCTAAATTTTGCGATGCCAGTCCACTATACAGCCCTTTTCCAGAAAAGCTTCACATTTCATGCTGTCAAGTTATACAACTCTACAGATAAAATATGTCGCAGTAAAACAATAGTGCCTTTCAGGAGACTCGATAAGAAACAGCTGATGGGATATTAATAGTTCAAGTGTGCATTTGTTTCTTTTTCTTATTATTACTATTGTTTGTTTGTGTATCAAGTTTAACTGTGTTACTCTTTCGTACACAGTGAGGTTAAGTGTAAGAGTAGCCATTTGGCTAAACTTCGCCTCACTGATGTATGCTGATTAATAAAGACATTTATTATTATTATTATTAAAAATCTCTTTGTAATACGGATTTTTTATTACCTTTTTTTGCGGATGTTATTCACAAGTTTTTTCCGTAACATCTACGGTGTAGTTAGATACAGGAGTTTAAAATTTAACTGCATACTTTCAGTGGGACGATGTGGAGAGCTTTCTGCCAGAAAGCGTATATAAACCTGGTAACGAAATACCTAGAGAGTTTGTACCACCTGAAACAAAGGAGGGCGATACAATCAAGATTGGAGTTGGTGAAGTGTTTGATTTGTCCAAGTTTTGGGTATATTTAGATGATGGAAATTTGGACAATCTCATGGATGAATTGCAGTATGTATTTTTGGTTCCAGTATATTTTACGCAAATATTGACATTCGGATAAATCGTAGCTTAGTTATCTCTAAATCATATTCAAGTAACTTTTAGGCCACATCAGAAGTACGAGGGATGTCTTTTAAGTTTTGCATATAGAAACATATTAGGCCGCGCGGATCGAACGTCAGTACTGAATCTTAACCTTACTCTTTAGTAAACTTAAAATCAAAGTTTCACAGCAATACGTGCAGTGTTTTCACTACTACTACATTTTTAAGTGTCACCAAGACATTAGAAAATGGAACTCAACCGAGAACATTTTCGCGCCATAATTTATTACAACTTTCAGAGACAATTATCGCAACAAGAATGCCTTGCTGAGTTACTGTCTGTTTTCGGCAACGAAGCGCCACATCAGTCGACAATTTCCCGTTGGTATGGAGAATTCAAACGTGGACGGGTGAGTCTTAGCGACGATCCCAGGGTGGGTGCACCAAGAACTGCAGTCACCCAGGAAAACGTCGATGCTGTGCGCAAACTCATTATTGAAGATAGACATGTGATATATCGCGAGATTGAGGCGTCCTTGAAGATCTCAAAGACCTCAATTCAAAAAATTTTACATGAAGAATTAGGAGGAAGAAAATTAGTTTCTCGTTGGATACCCCACCTGTTGACTGAAGAGCAGAAAGCAGCCAGGGTTAATTGGTGTCAAAAAACGCTTGACCGTTTCAATTCCGCAAACTCAAAAAATGTGTACAGCATTTTTAGTGGTGATCAATCGTGGATTTACTGTTATGAACCAGAAAATAAAAGACAGTCGGCTGTTTGGGTGTTCCAAGGTGAAGTGTTTCGAAAAAGATGGTTGCGACATTTGTATCATATTGCAACAATTCCTCTTAATGAGCAAAGAACTGTTACTGCGGATTGGTATACCACCATTTGCTTGCCGAAAGTCATCACCGAGCTTCGAAAAATCAATCCCGAAAGAAGAATCATCCTCCACCAAGACAATGCAAGCTCGCATACAGCCCAAAAAACAAGGCAGTATTTAACGGAAGAAAACGTGGAATTATTGGACCATCCTCCATATAGTCCCGATCTAAGTCCTAACGATTTCTTTACTTTCCCGAAAATTAAAAACAGACTGCGTGGTCAAAGGTTAAAGTCACCAGAAGAAGCAGTTGACGCATTCAAAAATGCCGTTTTGGATCTGCCAGCAAACGAGTGGAATAAGTGCTTCGAAAATTGGTTCGAGCGCATACAGATGTGTATTAGTCTTCGTGGAGAATACTTCGAAAAACAATAGTCATATAAAACTACCTACCATGTTGTTTTACTTCCATATGCAAAACTTAAAAGACATCCCTCGTAACATAAGCCTAACCTGTATTTGTTTTGATGCGGCGAACATGACAATGAATATAATGCAGAATGTTTTCATTTTAGGGATTTCTATGCAACAAATGCCTCACGATACTCGATGAATGAAAGTTTGATAAGAGAAGGGGTCTACTGTGCAAAAATTATTTATGGAGAGTATCATAGGGCAGTCATTGTTGATGTTTTACCCGAGGTCAAAGATAGTATAAAGGCAAGTATTCATGAAATTACCTAAAAAAAACATTTTAGCAAAGCTACTTTATATTACTGTTTAATTTGATATAAACCCTTTTTTCCATTTCTGCAAAATGATTTACCAGTACAGTGAGATTTCTTTTTGGTAGAAATTACCTCTAATGACTTGTCACAATTATTGCATAGGGTCTTTCCATTGCGTTTTAAGTAAGAGGTGTGCGCGGGAATCCAATGAATGTTCGCGAAACAAAAATTTTGAAGAAGTTTTGACTCAAAGTTACTAATTTGCCAAGGAAGAATAAACGTTGTAGGCTTTGAAAACCGATCAAGTGACCGTGAAGCTACAGCCAAAAAATAGAAAAACAAAAATTGCCGAAACTTCGTTTTTTGAGGTTTCAGAAACACGAGCTCATTTTCAGATTTTTTTGGTGGGATTTGAAAATTGCGGTTTGTAGTACTTAGTCAAGCTTCGATTTCATTTGAGCCTTTTGAATACACTTGACCCATTTTTTATAGATGTGCATAGTTAACTTTTAGAGGGACCTTCGTTTCAGCAGCTATTGCAAGCCAGGCTCTTACATACTGTAACCATTGATTAACGAATTCTGCAGTCTGGAACCGAAACGGAAGAGAGTAACAGCACATTGTACGCCACTGTTATCGCGCGTCTTTGAATAGGGCTTGGATCCGCGCTCAGCGTTTTTGCCTATTCAAAGGCATGTCGCTCTACTCTCTTCCATTTTGGTACTAGGGTATACTTGAAAATAACCAACCAGTGCCCAGAACGGGATCTGAAAGATCACAGCACCATCTATGATACAGTAGCAGAACACAAGTATGAATTTAGAAATATCCATTGACGGTAAAGTGTTTGGTTCTATGACTCTGGTCTTATAGATAGTGGGATAGTAGGATCTTCAATATCTTTTTGGCACCTCTCTAATACCTATTTTATTGGGTATCTCCAGGTGAAATACCAAATTAAAATAAGCATTGGGGAGGTGCCAACAAGGGATTGAACATTCTAGCGCCATCTTGGTCATTAGCAGAACCAAACAGTAACTCTTTTCAAAGTAGGTTTCTAAATTCATTTCTGTGTTTTGCTTCTGTTTGATAGATGGCGCTAGGATTATTCAGGTGCCTTTTTTGTTCGCCAGAATACAGTATATGAGTGGCTATCTGCAAGTAGAATAAGTTGATCAATGCTGTTATATAAAAAAAAAACATTGCAATTATATTGAGTGTATTAGAAATCTGTTTCAAGTAGGTTGACTCTATATCTCAAATGCAGTTTTTTTGGTCGATTTTTTTTCTAATCCGAACATAACCTTATTGATGACGGGTTTGCGTGGAAAGTATCGAGTCTACTTGACCCCATTTTTATCATCAGGTGTTCTTCATTGATTACGGTACGATGACCAAAGTACCAATCAAGGACATCTGTTTCTTACACGAGAGGTTCGCTGAGCTGCCAGCGCAAGCGATCCGGTGTCGCTTGGCCGACATTTGCCCGACACAAGAATGCGTGCCTTGGAGTCATGACGCCACTGTAACGTTCAGAAACATGACCAGGGATCGAACCATCGATGCTAAAGTGGCTAGGATAAACAGGAAGGTGAGTGGATAGTCGTTTTATTCAAGATTTTAGTGCTCTTGTTTTGCTACCTCACTTATTTTGATTTTGCGAAGTTGCGAGACTAGCGGGACAATCCTCCTATTTTATTTTGAAACTTATGGTATCTCGGCCCTTCACGAATGATCTAATTTGTTTTATTTTCATTTTTACGAAAACAATGCACTCTAGGAAAAAACACAAGAGTAATTATTTGTAGTCAATTGAAACTTCGAAAAATTACGCGTTTCGAAAAAAAAAAACAGTGGCGTACTATTTTTACATATACTAAGTGACATATAAATCCGAACACCCAGTTTTAATGGTTTTATTTTAATAAAAGTTGGTGAATGTATTTATCTTACTGTAAATAACATGTGAAAAAATGTTCAGCCTTATCAGTTGGACATTCCGGTTTTTATACTGCTTTTTTTAATTCATTAACTTTGGTTCTTGACATCCTTTACGATCGGTTACGATGTCTAGAGTACGGAATCCTGTACGATTTCGTCAACTTCGTGAGTTTGATAGGGGCCGTATAGTGGGACTTCGGGAAGCTGGACTTTGTTTTCGGGCAATTGCAGTTAGAGTGCAAAGAAGTGTAGACACTGTGGTTAGGTGTTGTCAGGCATGGCTTCGAGAAGGCCGTACGCAAAGAGCAAGTGGCACTGGACGCCGCCGTAGAATAACAGACCGTGAAGATCGCCGCCTAAGTTTATTGGCCTTAAGGGACCGTTTCTCCACTACCAGGTCCATTGCAAATGAATGGTTTGCAGAACACGGAAGACCTATTGGCATGCGAAGTGTTTACCGACGAATGAGAAGTTTTGGCTTCTTTTCATACCGGCCCTTTAACTCGAGAACACCGACGTAATCACCTTGAGTGGTGCAGACAACGGTCACTCTGGGATCAGGAATGGAACAGTATTGTCTTTAGTGACGAGTCTCGATTTTGTTTAGGCATGCACGATGGTCGTGCCAGGGTTAGAAGGCGACGTGGTGAAAGGAGGAATCCACAGTTTTTTGTTGAAAGACATGTTCATCACACTATTGGAGTTATGGTTTGGGGTGCTATAGCTTACGGTTCCAGGTCACCTTTAATCTTCATCAGAGGCAACATGAACGCGCAGCGTTATATCCACGAAGTTCTAGAACCCCATCTTTTACCCTATCTTGACACCCTGGCAGATCCAACTTTCCAACAAGATAATGCCCGACCACATGTTGCAAGAGTCACAATAGACTTCTTTCAACATAATGATGTCACATTGTTACCATGGCCACCAAGATCTCCCGACTTATCCCCAATTGAGCATGTGTGGGATATGATGGGTAGGAGATTGCTCAATTTGCAACGTCCTCCTCAGACTCTAGAAGCACTTCGAGAGGAGTTGGTGGTTGCCTGGAATGAGATACCACAGGAGGACATTGACCACCTGATCGGAAGCATGCCTAGGCGCGTTGGAGAATGCGTAGCACATCAGGGTGCATCCACACATTATTAAAGGTCAAAGGGCTTTAAAGCAGTGCAATCATTTTGAAATTTTTATCATTTACTTATTATGCTTCATTAAGTACTTGTACAAAATTTTATTAAAATAAAAACATTTAAACTGGGTGTTCGGATTTATATGTCACTTAGTATATTTGGAAAAATAATGTCACTAATTACCTGTATCTCCGCCACTGTGCCCGTTAATTGTAAATAAAGACTTTTGAATGTGGACAATACTTAGGTAAATCCGCATACCAAATTTTAGTTCATTACAGTTGATGGTTTTGAAGATATGAAAAAAAAAGTTTTTGTGAATCACCCTGTATAATAAATACATCATGACCAACGAATACGAAAATATTAGGAGCCAAGTCTATAATTTACAATGCGTTGTTTGTCGACAAAATTGTGTAGTTTTAGTGCATAGTGATTCATTTGTCTACCAATGCCTGCCAAAGTGACAGCATTGTATCAACATAAAAATAACCTAGTGGTGGAAATTTGCCTTCATTGGTCTTGTGCTTCTCTTTGCAAACTATGTAAGAAGTTCCATGTCCTGAAATCGTCTTACACCACAATTATCTGCAAACACTCGCACTTTTCAAAAAAATAACACAAAATATAAGAAATTAATGACAGAACCGCGAAAATTTACTTATGTCAAGTGCACTGTGATTCTTACTACATACTATGAGAATTAGGAGACACACAAATCCATGACTGACTCCATCTATCTAGTCTAAATTCGTTGATTGGCTAAGTGCCCCCCATCACTCAAACGCTGCTAGAAATAATAGCTTCATCAGTCTTCTTCACCGATTTCAGACTACAAAGTTTATCGTTTCAGGAACAAATTCTGGAATTGTACCTGATCGACGTCACCAATCCATCCAAGCCATTTTGCATTAACACAAGATTGGTAGAACTTGGACTAGCCACATACCCCGATCAGGTAATAATCGAAACCACGCGTCCAGTTAAGGAGAGCAAAAGAAAAGTGTTTCTTAGGCTGTTGGCTGAGAAGCGAAAGTCTAGGCTGAGTGAGACAGAGTGGCAAGGAGATTAGTGTGTGTATGTTCACTAACATATGGTATTGTTTCATATGTTTAAGCTGGTTTGTACCCATTTACATATTGTGCTGTGTGCTATACAAACACTTAGCTTAGCCATGGTGTAAACCTTCGAGGCAATTTCAAGGTCAAATCAAGACGTTGAAAAAAATTTTCTCTAGCAAAAACGTTCGACGATCACCTTCACGGTTATGGCCAAACATTTACACCTTAAATATAAAATTTTTTGGCCTCTGGAATTTTAGCATAAAAATCAAGGGGTTGTGTTACAAATAACATTTAAGATCGACATGACCTTGACTTGGAGGTCAAGGACACATTCGGACGTAACTGCTGCTTTTCCAATGCCAGGATTAAAATGATGGGTTCCTTTGAACATTTTGACTCAAACTTTGGTCATGGTCAAGATGATGGTCACGGTCATAAGTGTGCTGTCGAACATTTTTGCCAGAGCGTGAAACGGCCTCGAAGGTGATTGTTGTGTTCATCGTCAAGGTCATATTCAGATGTTGGCTTTCGTCCTCTTTCCAAATCTGGGGTTCCATTTGAAATTATATGTTTAACCTTGAAATGAACTTGAAGTTCGTGGTGCAGGTCACCATAGTTTTGCTTACTCGGAATCCTACATCTTGTTGCCAAATGCCAAAGAAAGCAAAAAACCACATAGAACTGTTGTTGCAACATACTTCACAAGAAAAACAACATGGTGTCCTTGAGGTGTCGAAGTACTATTTTAAACATTTTTTTTTGCATAAGAGTCGACCGGAATATAAAATATGTTATCATTATTTGTATGAATAAGTTTCAAGTGGTACAAGAAAATGCCGTTTCACATGAACAGCTGGCACGTCCCTTTTTTTAGATTTTTTTTTGAACTTGCTGTTTGCAGCAGTATTCTAAATCCTTTTCATCTGATAATTTCATGGTGTGTATAGATATGACTAAAAAACAATGTTTTCATTTTTTTTTGTCAAAAAATTCATTTTTTTGTGCATTTTATTTTTATTTATCTTATTTTTTCTTCAATCAGAATTTGTTAACAAATATAGGTACAACTCTGAAATTGTTTGTGAATATTCATCTTTTATGGAAGAATGAGACGAGTGATTACTTTCGTTGTTATCACTTTTCCTTTTCAAAAAATCTTTGCTTTTCTTGAAAACTCAACTTGCTTTTATATAACTTGACCTGTTTGTATGTTAGTATGTCAGAATGTATGTGTGGGATAAATCTTGGAACTGAATTCTGAATCATTTAACCTTAACCAATTGAGCTGAAATTTTGTACACACTTCTGGTTCGCGTGAAAATAAAAATAAATTAGCTGCCGCTATTTTGAATCCAAGATGGCGATTCATCACTTCCATAGTAACACCTATCATATGGGTACACGTGAAGCGGCTTGATCAGAGAAACACAGTTAGCAATGTGCTGTCATGCTAAATCCAATATGGTGATTATAATTACCATAGTCACCCCTATGATATAGGTAACAAAATTAAAGGGCTTTATGAAAGAAACAGCAATCGAATCAGTAAATGGAACGATTTGGTCATTAGATGAAATCAGTGCCGGGTGCTCTGCTGTTCGATTTTCGTCCGCGGGCGCGCTTGACGTCACGCGGAGAGTGATTATCATTTGGGTTAATGTGGAAAACGTGCATATTTTCACCTACAGCTCAAACGGCTTGATAGATTTTCACATATGAGCTGTTGTTGGATAGAAACAAAATGGCGGATTTTCAACCTTGTAATTTCTTCTCACAGGCTATAGCTTAAACGGCTTTCTAGCTCCACAATAGAGCGTGTATCCTCACTTTACTCTAAAAACAAGATTTTTCTACATTACCTATATTTTAGTATGTTCTGTGGAGCAGGATTAACATGCTCATGACGCTAATACTGCACTACATTTATTCATCCTTACTTTACAGAACATCCTAAGTACTAACTACATGCAAGTGTGAAAATGTACGCAACTCAAAAAGTAGAAAAATGGAGTTATCATCTTTTTGCAGTAAGCTGGCAGTATAACAATAAGTGGCAATTTCTTAGTCTAAGCCACAATTTTCCATCCATTTCCTTCCACGATTTTTCTGGTCTTTTTAACTTTTACTCAGTTGTTTAATCCGGAACAACATCCTTGACCTGAAAAATAGTTTCTTAGCTTTTTCATGGCAGTCAATGTTGGTGCTTTTCAACAGAAGTTCGCCTATAAAATCTTGCTTGTCTGTCACTATTCCGTCCCCATTGAATGTAGTAAACACCTTGTTAAGCTTCTCAATTTGATTCATGGAAGCTGTGGAAGGTTTTGATAATCCATTCTCACTAAGATGGTCTATCCACGAGTAAGTTTCATTTGAGGAACTTTTCAACCTGTCATCCTGCAATTTATGGCAAACAAAGCCGGCCAAATTTTTCAGCCCATCATACTCGAGCTCATCCATTTCTTCCCTTAAAACTTCCTCGTTATAGTCAACTGATACTTCAGGTGCATTCAGTTTATTCGTTAATGATGCGGTTCGTGGAATGTACGGAGTATCCTCTCCCTGTACGCTGCAATACTCTAAGTATGCGTCTTCGTTTCGCCCCAAAATATATGACCTTATTCTATACTTAAACTCTAGGGGATAAGTTGAGCCCTTTGCCTTTTTTCGTAAGCATTTTTCCGCTTTCCCCATCAACAGATATACATGGTCTAGGTGCCACCCTAACGCTTTTTACATTGACTTTGATTTTTCTTTTTGTATTATGTAGCCATTTTTTGCTAAGGTTTGGGTCTTGAAGAAAACTGTGGAACTTCATGTCTTTGCAAGGATTCCGTGTAGATTGGTTGTCGGAATTACATCCCACAACAGCACACCGCATTTTTATCAATTTACTAGCATCAAAGGGCATATAGAGTATGTATAACTAATTTAACAAGTCACAAAACCTCCAAAAAACACCATCAAATCGCACTATATAATATTAACCACGGTACACGTGAACTGCACGTTACGACAATCCTGCCGCTGGTAACCACGAGACGATAACTCTCCAAGTGACGTCACGAAGCTCCGCCCACATGCGCAATATCCTATCTTCAGTGTATGTGTATCGTGAGATGAAATCACAGATGTGGAATGAATCACTTTATTGACGTTTCAGCAACCAGCAGGAATAAAACTTATAGTAGTTGATTATTGATGTTTAAGAGAATAGCCTTATTTATTGGCCAAACAAAGAGCGTGAGAGAGGCAGCCACTGCCTATTGTTGATTTTATTGCTATTTAGTACTGTAGGTTGTGAACTTTAATTTATCTTTTTTGCAGATAATTTTATGTCTGTGAAACAATTAAATATTTCTCACATTCACACGTACATTGCAAAATTAAGAAATTAGAGTCTATTATTGGGTTCCAAATATTGCGTTTTTCAACTTTTACTATATTATTAAGTTTGGTCTGCTTTGGTTATGCCAATATATGGAATCACATGATGAACTGAGTATTTTATTTTCTGCTGCTATTGGTATTTATTTTTCAACCTCGATCTTTTCTTTCATTCTTTATTTTTTACTGCCAGACTGACTTGGTAGCTGAAACTTCATTTATTAGCCAATTAAGAGAAATAGAGCAGAAGTTATTGTGTTTATTAAGTTTGATCTTTTTATTTGCTAGTGCGTAATCTATTTGTTATACTTGTTTGTATGTAGCAACTACAAACATGTGCTTTGCTATGTTAGTATTTTCAGGAGAAAGGTCAAAGGATCAGAGCCAGATTAAATGTCAGTTTTCATCCAAACGAATGTAGTCCTAACTATATTGGCCAAATACATTAGTGCAATGATTCCTGAAAGTATATTTCAGATGTTTTCGAGCCTGAGTGTAAATTTACCAACGTTCTCTTTTAACTTGTTTCAGGGCATCCAGAAATCAAATGTAGATAGCGCGTTTAAGCCATTAGTGAAATACATACATCTATTTCCCACATTTTTGGAACTAGAACTGGGATACGCCCCATCTACGCAAGAAATGGACATTTTGTTTAACTGTGGCGTGCCCACACATTTTTGTTACCCGCAATATTATTCCATCGACCGTACGGATGAAAAACAAAATATAATGGAAACGATAGAATTTTACGAAAAGACGTTGAAACGAGGCGTAAAGAGCACTTATATCGATATGTGTTGTGGCGAAACGAAAGACTTGGACTTGGCTTTCTTCGGAGAACTTCAGGGTGAAATAGCAGACTTTATCAAAAACAGTGATATGAATAGTGAGGTTACAGAAGATGAGGGTTCGGAAGATATTTCGAAAATGTACAAGGAGCTGGAGGACTTGAAGAGAGAAACTGCAGAAAAAGTACAGCAAGATCTGGCACTTGCTGAGGATATCATGAGGGAGTTAGATATTATAAAATGTGAGGCAGAAGAGGATGGCGCTGGACCGTTGGTTTGTGAATCTGAGGAGATTGAGGAAGAGAGTTCTGAATCGACAGTGAATAGTGCAGAATTAACAGGCAGTCGTCCCGAGGACCAAGAAGTTTCCGAAAAAACGAAATTCACGGATTCGGAGGTAGTTAGTTTACCTGGCGTAGAAGAGGACATACGAAATGTTGATGAAGTGCATAGTATTACTGGTAGTAAGAGCACAAATCCGTTTTTATCTGGTATGCATGAAGAATCTGAAGAAGACAGTGGGCCGTCGGTGCTGAATCCGAATAACCCGTTCTTGTCGTACATAGTAGGTAAGTTTCTCTTGTTTGTTATTTTAAATTCTACAGAGAAATCCCTATATCACGAACGTTAAGGCGGTCCCAGACACTACGAGCTACGCCGAACATTCCGTATTCGCCTAACTTCGTGGACCGTGTGGGAGAGTTGCTTCGCTTCGCCTTCGCAGTTCGTGGTAGTACGAACTTTTTCTCGCTGATTGGCGGTAAAAGCTGCTCCTTCGTTACATTTAGTCTGATCAGTGCAGTATCAATTTGTGTTTGAGCGAGTAGTAATGGAGTGGAACAAAGATCTAGTGAATTAATTTTTGGAAAATTTTTGATACACTGTTTATCCTCGTCGTACCTTAAAAAGTTGAAAGTAAAACCTACTTTAAAAAATGGCGTCAAGTAGATTGATTCTATACTTCCCGCGCTTTGATGAGCGGTGTCACGGACAGAATATAAGAGATACCCCCTTCTCCAACCTGCTCCCACCTCCGATTATTTATCTACACCTACAAAAAATTGTTGGAAAGTGATCAGGAGCCCCGAAAACATCCAAAAACAGAGTTTGAGCGCTTTTCATTTTTTTTTAGTTTTTTGACGATAACAGCCGCAACTGCACCGATTGTTTAAAACCATAAAACTACAATGCATCCCTGCTATAGTACTAAACTGCGGTCAAAATTTTATCAACTTTCGAGTAGTACTTTCCGAGTTATAGAGGGGCTAAGGATTACCGGACAGACAGACAGACAGACCGCCGGAAATGAGTGAAACATTTTAACTTGACGACTTTTATTTAAAGATAGCATCCACCACCTTCTTTTTCGACGTTTAAACTTGTTTCATTTAAAAAATAACAGCACATGATTATGGAAGCTGCAGCAACAGCGACCTGCTCGTCCGCGCCTATGTCCATTTTAAAACTACAATCGAGGCTTTGCAGAATATTTGTTATATCCCGAAATACGAAGTGGTTGGAAGTCAACGCGAACTTGAAGTATGTGCTTCGCCGAAGTACGAAGCTTCGTTATTCGCCGAAGAAAGGACTGACTGGGACCGGCTTTAGACGTGCGACGTTGGCAACGCGGCAAGCCTCAGCTGCGTCCGTCGCCTCCTTACTCGGGTTGCTAGGCGACGTAGCACTTGTATCTCTTTCTAATAGACGTATTGTACGCTAACTCGCGCTTTAGTCGCGTACACATTACGACGTCAGTGGTATATGGATTTCTCTGTATAACTTTAAATAATTGGTGATTCATTTGGAGTATAAAAATTGAAAACTATGAACTATGTCGGGCTACCAAAGTTAATTCTTTTTCTTTCATCTTGGAATTCCAATTTTTGATGACACCTCCGTGCATTTAGGCCCGTATCGTCAGTCGTCCCTACAATTGTAGGGCACCTTTATGGCCTCCTTGATTGTCATAGTTTTCTACTTCTCCGTGTCAGCTCTATTTTGAGGTTATGTCACAAACATCTATTTGCATCAAATTGTGCTTGCTTTTGAGTTATATCATGTTTTATCAGCCTGAAATTTCCTACAATTTAAAAAGAAAACATATCTTCACAATAGGAGAGCGCTGACGCTGACACGGGACAAGTGTAATCTAGAAATTTTTGAAGGAGAGAAAGCAGTATGACAATCAAGGAGGCCATTAACGCGCCCTACAACTGTAGGGACGACTTAGCCCAAAAGAAAAATGTCTAGAGATGTGAAATCACGAGAAATTATCTAATAAATTATTATTGTTATTAGTATTAATCAAAATTGAAATTCCAGAATGGTCCATGACAAAATACCGAAAAACCATATTTTTCCGAGAGATGCGAAGGTACTTCATGGACTAAAAGATAACCCGATAACGTTAATTACAGTAATGGACAAAAGTATATAGACAAATGAATATTGTGCTGTATTTCTTTTTTAACTTGTTTTATTAATACACCAACCTCTATACATAATTCGTTATAGCATATACATAAATAAATTCATTAGACTCCCTTCAATAAAAAATTTATTGAAAAAAATAACTATGAAGGACAAAAATATGTAGATAAAGAAAAACAATTATAGAGAAAAGAAGCAAAGTTCATTGAATTATAGAAAACCAACCATGTTTGTGTTAATATTTTGTAGCATAACTATTATTATCAATCACCGGCTGGCATCATCTCGGCATATATTGTAGAAGTCTCTTGATATAAGATTCATCAATCTGTCTCCACTTTTGCTCTAAAGCGGCAAAAAGTTCATCCTTGTTTGAATAATTTGTATCTCGTATTTGCTTATCTAAGTATTCCCATAGATTTTGAATGGGGTTTATATTGGGAGACTGTCAAGGCCATTTGAGAACTGGTATTTTTTATCCAGAAAGAATTTCTTTGCGAGATTTGAATTGTGCTTCGGGTCATTATCTTGCTGGAAGATTGATCTTAAGTGCATATTGTCTTCCATATAGGGTAACATGACATGCTTTAGTAAGTCTGTGTATACAAACTTATCCATAATGCCATCCATTCTATGTAAAGGTCTCATCCCAAACCCCGAAAAGCACCCCCAAACCATAACAGACCCGCCTCCATGTTTGACAGTGGGTAAAGTGTACTTGAGGTTCAACCACTAGGACGTCTAACGTAATGAACACCATCTGATCCAAACATATTGAACTTGGATTCGTCACTGAAGCATACCCTCGTTCAGTCACAGATGCTCCAATCAAACACTGACAATTCCTTTTGTCTCGATTTCGGCTTTTATTTGTCTTGCGGTTTTAAACGGATCTTTGGACAAAATTGCTTTTATTAATCTAACTGATCTAGCATTTAGTTTTCAAGGCCGACCACAGAGGCTTCCATGATACCTTTTTGTTTATATTTGTTCAATATTGCCCAAACAGCTTTACGCTTCAGCTTCAAATTTTTGGCAATGTCGACTTGACGTCTATATACTTTTGTCCATTACTGTATATCTTTGTTTATTTTTTTCAAAAAACAAAAAAAAAAACTGAATGAATATGAATATGAAAAAATATAGTGATTTACGTGGTAAATTTAAAATGTCGAAATGCAACGTTATTCGTGACGTCCCTACTTGCTACTTGTGACTGTCAGTGATAGACACCCTTTCAGTTTGAGTTTCCAGTTTTTAAACATAATTTGTAGTATTAAATATTACCTATAAATACTTTGTAATCACATGGTATGTCAAAAACTCGGCAGTAACCTAATCAAAATACAGTAGAATGACAAGTTATGAGCTATGACGTCGCTTAAATCGTCGTTGGCAGCGCAGTTTTAAATATTTGATTACAAGTAAATATAGACATTTCCATGGATGAAATACGTATATTACGGTATTGTACAGGGTGCGTTATCTATTACTTTTTTCTATTTGAAAAATCAACACGCTTTTTACGAGGTGAAATCGATTTTTTTATTGATAAATGAAGGTTGGCTTATGCCATTTATGCATGAAAAATAACATCAGTCATGTGACCACCGCGGCTTCGTTTACAGGCCAACATCCGAACATCAAAATTTTTAATGACTTTTCCCAGAATAATCGGGTCTATGGCAGCAATTTCAGTCCGCTTGCGCTTTAGGTATTGAATTGTCCGGGGACCATTCGCATACACTTTTCTTTTCAAAAATCTCCAATGAAAATAGTCAAGAGATGTTAAATCGCACGATCTCGGGGGCCAACTGGCATCTGAATTTCGTGAAATTATGCGGTCTTGAAATTTCATGTGCAATAAGGCGATTGTTTGGCGAGATGTGTGAGCCGTTGCGCCATCTTGATGAAACCAAAGATAGTCGGCACCAATACGATCCAATTGTGGCCACAAAAAGTCTGTTAACATTCCCCGATAACGTTCCCCGTTGACGGTAATGGCCTTTTCTTCGGCATCTTCAAACAAGAATGGACCAACGATGCCACCAGCCCATAATCCGCACCAAACAGTCACTTTTTCAGGATGGAGAGGTTGTTCATGATATTGGTGTGGATTTTCAGCCCCCCAGAATCTGCAATTTTGCTTATTTACGCACCCATTGAGGTGAAAATGAGCCTCATCAGAAAAGAGTACTTTGGCCGAAAATCCGTCTTCTCTTTCCAGCATCCAATTAACAAAAACACGCCGCTGTTGATCGTCTGCTGGCTACAATTCTTGTGTTAGTTGGTTTTTGTATGGATGGAGGTGTAAATCAATGTGTAAAATCAGGCGTAAAGTGGTTTCACTAATTCCCAATTGTTGCGAACGGTGCCTAGTCTAGGTGGTTGGACTTTTACTCACTGCGGCTAAGTTCAGCTGAATCAGTTTCCTCAAAACGACTAACAATCCAACGAATTCCAGGCTCTGTAGGGCGTCCATGTCGGCCAAAGGTAGTGCGAAGTTTGCGAAAAGTATTTCTTATATTTCGACCGTTTTCGTAATAAGTTTGGATAACCAAAATGCGTTGTTGTGTTGTCAACGAATCCATGATAAATGGCATACCTTTGACAGTTCATTTATGCATACCACATGACTTTTGACTCACATGGTAACACATAAACTTATAGGTAAAAAAAGTAATAGATGGCGCACCCAGTATTAATGTTAATAATCGACAGGAAACACAAAAAATGCGCGCATATTCCCTATTATAGCTTGTTCAATTTATTAAGTTTATTCATTTACAAAGGTTCTCGACCATCATCTAATAATAGTAGTGAGTCTACCTCTTATGAAAGTTGCGTTGAGGAAGTTACGGTTGAACAAAAATGGATGGATGAAAACAAAGAGGTCACTATTGAACAGCGGTGGTTGAGCAGTGATAACGATGTTGTGCGATTGGTGGAATCTGTTTCAATAACCAATGCTACGGATACTTCACAGGTAAGTGTAGCTACGTTTCAGTATACAGGGTGTTTCAGAACTATGGGATCAAACTTGTAGGGCTTATTCAGTGTAACAGTAGAAAACATTTGGGTATAGGGACCCATAACGGACAAGTGTTACTACAGCACTAGGGCCCTATAACGCGTTAAAATTTAGGAAGACGATGAATTGCCTAAATAGGATTTAATGCATTTAATTGTTGCCTTTTGTACATGATATCATCACAACAATGCTTCAAAATGTCTTCCTCCAACCTGTCCAGTATCTCTAACTCGTCGATTTCGGCCTTTTTGGAACCACTCTCGATAACGTCTCATAACAGTAGCTTCGTTTCGATTCACCCGATTAGCGATTTCTCTAAAAGAAAATCCGGCTTCACGTAACCCGATTATCCGGCTCCTCTTAAACTCGGGAAAGTTGAGTGAAATTACAGCGTCTGCGAACTCTAGGCATGATAATGCAATGAAACAACAATGAAACAAATGGAACCATTACACAGAAAAAATCATTGAACATTAAGTTAAACATGTTCATATTGTTCGGATCCTGATATGACAAGAAAAGCTTTTACAAATATGCTTACAAGTTTTTATCATAATTCAATTTAGTAATTTTGGGTGTTGAATTTTATACCTACTCGCATGTCACTTAGTATATTTTTGCTTATTCTCCGTAATGTTTATTCGATTCTGTTTGTATAGGCGTCGACGGCAACACCGGAAAAAAGTTGTGGTTGTGCCATCCAGACAAGCGAGAACGCAACTGGGCCTCTCATTCCGCATCAGGGTCCTCCCATCCCTCCCAGTTTACCTTATGGGGTTACCAGCCACCCCAACATTATGGAGGTTATCAACCTTGGTCGACTGCTTCAGATTGTGCTCCATTTGGGTAAGTCAAAAACTCAAAAATAAATGAACAAATAGCCTTTATTGTCTTACAGTTATAAGATAAATCTAAATTAAAGATAACCGAAGGATAGAAAATAAAAAAGCGACATAGCCAAGCAAAGAGAAAAAAGCGGTATTCCGGCGAAAAATGGTTGTATTTAGACTTTAAAAATCGCATTAGAGAGCTACAAGATTCTAGTTTTCAGGTTTTTCAGTCTTAGGAGCAACGTTCTCATGCAATTCTAACAAATATCGCAAGGATTTTTTTCCAAAATTTTTGCATTTTTTTTTTAGTCCATGGACTTGAATATTTTTTTGTTATGCCATCATATGGATCAGATAGCCCGTTTATTGAGCTTCAAATCCAGAAGGATCCTTTTGTCATCGAGCACTGATATCTCGGTAACCAGTGATCGCACAGAGAACAGAACTGGGATAAATCTCCTATAAGACTGATTGCCTTCTTTGAGGAAACTTTTTTTGTTTCCTTAGTATTGATTTTAAAGAGTAAAACAGTCACTTTTAGGTTTTT